ACTAGCAGCCGCCTAGCGGCGCATGAAAACTGACAGGGCAACGGGCTCGTGGCCCGGTGGGTAGAGGCGTTGACTTCTAAACCAACAGGTCGCGAGTTCGAGGCTCGGGTGTTCCACACCTTGGGCTTGGGTATTGCTGGCTGACGAGGGCCAATAAGCCAGAAATGGCCATTCCAGTCTCCCTTGTCTTTGTCGGTAATACTATTCTGCCTATATATATATATATATTGCTGCGTAAACACACTGGAGTCGCTAATTTTTCGCCTTTTAACTGTTTGTACATCTTTTGCCGGCGGTTGATAGGAAAGTTAGATAATTTCAATTGAGGGCTGTATTCATTTGGCAAGGTACACGTCAAAATAAGAGAGACTGAAAATGACGGATGCACAATCTAATACGATTAAGGTGCACAATTGATGTGGCAGTAAACAAGCCTGAAAGCATCTTATGCGCAAGGTTTAGACAGCAGCTGCGTTTTTTTACAATGTGCACGTCAGTCAGAGTTGCTTTGTCTCAGAACTGAGTGCAGTCATGATTAGTCTGATAAACAACAGCAGGAAAATTTGAAAAACAGATTTTATACACATCCAAGTTAAATCAGATCATGAAATGCGCAAACGGTTTTATCCAGTGAAATTTTCATCTGCTGGAATATTTACGATGACTGCTGTGCATAATTAATGCGCTCCACTACGGTTAAGCAATCCCTTTTAATCGAAGTCGTATTTCGGAATTTCAGTCCACTGTTTCAGGGATTTGTTGACACACTGTAGGATGCGTATAATTACGTTTTAATGAATAAGAAATCGGTAAACCATATTGATTTTCTGACGCTAAAAATCGCTGCAAATGTTTGGGGTTACCATGTGTTTTCGATAAACTATCCTCGGGACAGTACATTTTTCAAGGAGCAGAGCTCAAGTGAAACATGTAAGGGTTAGAGAAACAGGTTATCTTTCGTCCGATCAGAAGAAGAAGAAGCGATCGCTGGAACAATGGCTTTATTCGCCCGACGTTTCGGATTCTCTCTTGAATCCATCGTCAGAGACAGTTGCAGAAAAGGGTGGCTAGTGTACAGGAAGTCGCAGTATTTATAGGATGCGGTCGCCATGCTACCGCATACCTACAGCAATTAACCGTGCTCCCTTCATCAAGGATTGTTGCCCGCTGGTGCACTAATTCCTTGATGGCTGGCATGCAAGTTGTTGATTGCTGACCTCTCATCACCCGTGTTGGATGCTGGCGTGATGATTGCTCGGCCACCTGGCTCACGTGTTTGCGCGCTCCTCGAGTGGTCAATTGCTTTGGCCAGTCTATGCCTCAGGACAGAATATTGAGTGGGGATGTCGTTGCACTTGTTGATAGACTGAGGTCCCGTGAAACATGACTCAAGCAACTCGCGGCTCACGCGATTATCCCCTCTCGCGAGAATTTCGGCCTCATTGAACTTGAATGTGTGGCCGGGTCTCGTCGAATGGGCCGCGACCTGAGAGTTGGCGTCATTTCTCCGTACAGCTGCCACGTGTTCGGCGATTCGCGTCCGGAGCAGTCTTCCAGTTTCTCCGACGTAGTTGCTTTGTCCGCAACTACACCAGATCCGGACGCCTCGCGTCAAGTAATGAGACCAAAAGACCCACTGCCACGGCAAGAAAAATCTGGAGTCGTTTACCGGATCTGGTGCAGTTGCGGACAAAGTAACTACGTCGGAGAAACTGGAAGACTGCTCCGGACGCGAATCGCTGAACACGTGGCAGCTGTACGGAGAAATGACGCCAACTCTCAGGTCGCGGCCCATTCGACGAGACCCGGCCAAACATTCAAGTTCAATGAGGCCGAAATTCTCGCGAGAGGGGATAATCGCGTGAGCCGCGAGTTGCTTGAGTCATGGTTCACGGGACCTCAGTCTATCAACAAGTGCAACGACATCCCCACTCCATATTCTGTCCTGAGGCATAGACTGGCCAAAGCAATTGACCACTCGAGGAGCGCGCAAACACGTGAGCCAGATGGCCGAGCAATCATCACGCCAGCATCCAACACGGGTGATGAGAGGTCAGCAATCAACAACTTGCATGCCGGCCATCAAGGAATTAGTGCACCAGCGGGCAACAATCCTTGATGAAGGGAGCACGGTTAATTGCTGTAGGTATGCGGTAGCATGGCGACCGCATCCTATAAATACTGCGACTTCCTGTACACTAGCCACCCTTTTCTGCAACTGTCTCTGACGATGGATTCAAGAGAGAATCCGAAACGTCGGGCGAATAAAGCCATTGTTCCAGCGATCGCTTCTTCTTCTTCTTCTGATCAACTAGTTCCTGGAACTCGCATCTTCGCTTGTATCTTTCGTCTTTCAATGCAAGCAGGGTGTGGAAATAAAAGGGAAGTCAATAGGAGAAAATAAGTTAGGAGTCGGTGTGGATTAGTTAAAACAGTTCCAAAGGGGAAGGAGGGGAGACACGAAGATGCGTACACAGTCAGTCGACCTATGGACATGGCAGACGCGAAGAGGGCACCAGGTTATTCTGCGAGCTTATGTCGGGCTTCCGTAACCTGGTGGCAGTCGCGGCTGTTGTTACTAGCAGACCGTGATCCAGGGGCTTAAGGTAGTTTGGTGGGATCTTATAAACCCCGCAGGAGGTCTCGATGCCTAGAATCTGCTCATAATTCCGCCTTTTCTCCGCCATGTGGAAAGGTTTCTCATATTTTTTTTGACTAGGCGCTTCTCAGTATAACTTGCTTCATCGGAGCAAGAAGTAAATGCACATGGAAGTGATCCAAGCTGGCAACCTATCATTAACATCTCCGTGTCAAACAGATTCCGTCGAGAATAATACCCGAACTTTTGCTATCGGGAAGGCTCGTGAAATAACTTGGTCGAGGTATCTTCACAGGAATTCCCTCGCTGCGTCTCTCTGAAATTGGTCTGTGAGAAAGATATTTTTCTTTGCCGCCGTCAAGGGAATGAATTATGTTGATTTCTGGATAATATTCTTTGTAATAGGTCTGTCATGAAACCCCTTCTTGTGTAGTAAACCCTGAAAAGACAAGCTATGACTAATTTCTCTTACCACCCCGGTTTTACTTGTATCCGTTCCCAAAAATTTACTGACCCGACAATAATCTGTCGAAAACATACGTATGCTTCGTAACTGGTTTTCTAAATTATTTTATGAGAATTTTCGCAACCCTACTTATATTTTATTGAGTTATGAGTGCTACGGGGATACCTGCATGTTATTAACGAACTTTAACTGTTCTAAATAGTTATTTGGCGTGTTGGCAAGGACACAATCTGCTCCGCAGTTGAAGGTTCTTAGTTGATTTTGAAATTATCTATGCTTAAAACGTAGTTGCATAAGACGCAGTTTGCATACTTTGGACTGTAAAATTTTCAATTTTTTATCTTCCTGACACTGTCAGCTCACTGGGCAATTTCCACATTACCAAAATGAGTTCTGCCATAGATTGAAAGGGCCAAGGAGTTTGATTTTAACACCCAAATTTACTTAGTTACCAGGCATTTTGTGCGCAATTTTTGTTGGCGGGACACAACTTTAATAGTCTAACGTAAATGCTGAACTATTATATTGCGATCTCTGAAAAGTCCCTCACGGCACTTAATGGATATATGAATTGATGATGAAAACTTGTTTGCTTTTGAAACGTCAGAGCAGTACAGCTATGGTTCCCGAGATCGCCTTTTCTTCTTATATATATATATATACATACAAAATTATAACACATACAAAGGTATATGGGCAAAATGATTTAATGACACAACAAAAACAGATCACCGATGAAGAAAATCACATCTGCTAGAGATTCGACCTACTTACGCTCTACCAGAGTGTTCACTACGGACTAAAATGTAACACCGCACAGACTTTGTTGTAAACAGCTGTAAGATAATCGCTCTTAGTACTAGGCCGCACCAATCTTTTCTAATTGCAGAAGTACCATGGCAGCCGGACTTACAGTCAAGGAGTCGGTCCCTCTGGTTGGGCTGACTGCGAGGTCTGAATTATACCGTCAGTCAGTGATCTCCGATACCACGGGTTTTAGCTCACCGTGATGGATTAAAGCATGTCAGACTGCTTACTGTGAGGAAAGTGCGCTAAGCTTTCGACCTCAATTTTTCCTTCCCCTCACAGGCACCAGTCAGTTGTCCGAACAGGTTAGTCGTTTGATGCGGGGAGTGAGCGAGGGAATGGCAGTGCTCGAGAGCCTGTCTGCGCGCGCCATACGCACGATCTGGCTCCCTAAACGCACACTTCTGGACCACACAAGATGAGGTGAGCGGATTGAATCTCACATGTATGACTGTAGCATTAGGAATGAACCATCGAATTGCGACTCTCTGTCCACCAATCGGCCATCCAAAGCACAAGCACACACTGGGTTCACTGCGTGGTTTGAGTGGGATTGCGAGTCGTCACGGCATTTAGCGTTCCGTGATAGATTCTTGGGCGTCAGATAGTTTGTAGTGGGGAATTATGCACTGAGAGTTGGCCACGCTCGCTCTACTATTTCGCGCAACCAGTCAACTCTCCGGGCCGGTCAACCAACTGATGTTGAGACTGGGAAAGTTGGTTGACAGAGCTATGTAGCATATTTTTTTCTACGCTTGCCACACACACAACCTGGTTCCCCCTTACCACACACCAGGATTCCACACGAGGTAGTAGACTGCTTGCATGTCTTAAATTCTCGGAGAGGCCACATTGAGAGAGAGAGAGCTGAGGAACACATTTCTCATTCACGTGAGAAGTGCCTTGGTCAGACACCTGCTATGTCCGATGTTGGGTGTGTTCATGTACGGTGCATGTCTGAAATGTGCGGGAGTGGGGTCTAGTCTGTGGTGATCTACCCCCAGAATTTCGTGGGGGCGCATGTGATCAAGTAGGTTCGTGCGATGTCCGTGGGAAGAGCAGGAACTTTAGGTGGTTGCGACAGGTGTATGCTGATACTTCAAGCACTATATCACCAGTAACTGTGTCATGGATCTGTAGGTACCTGACCAGGCCGACGCGTAATATGAATATGTTGTTGCAATGTGTGCAGATTAAGTTGGGAGCTGCAGAGTCAGTTGCAGTGGTGATTCCGCTAGTAATGGCCGCGCTGGAGAAACGGTAGTGATAGAGATAGAAGAGTTTTTGGTTATACGAGGTATGCTCGACTTGTCAACATTGTCATGAATTCCGTTGTCGTGAATACCCATGTGGTCGAATAGGTTCATGCGGCAGTGTGAATAGTGCAGACAAGTATATGTTAGAACTCCTGGCATTGGTGGACCGGCCACGTTGCGGCGAATTCGTACGTAACCGGCCTGGCCGATGCGTGAAGTGGGTGCGCGATTACAATGAGCACAGGCTGAGATCGAGCCCACGTTGCTAGCGGTGGAGACGGTGGTTTTTATGATAATGGTTGACAGGGTGTGGATAGTGTACCCTCCGATGACGAAAGTGGGAGAGGTGGTGGCCATCGTCGTGGGGGTTATGACAGCCGTGATGGGGGTGGCAGTGATCGGGGACGACAGGTCATCAGAAGTGTGATCACCTATAGTTAGGGTACTCGCTGTTGTGAACGTCGCGTAGGCTGGTGCAGGGGTGACGACGGGAGCGGTCGTGGAGGCAGCAGTTGGGTTTGTTGTCGCGCACGATCAGGAAACGTTACCGACGGAGGCAAAAGGGACAGGACCGGTCATTATTGGCCTATTTGTCATTGTCTGCCAAGTCTGCCACAAACTGGGGTCAGAGTAATTTGAGAGCTCTGTCTCTTGAGTATGGGATTAATTTTACGCTGGTCTTCATAGGGACATAGGTAGAATTAAATGAAAAATAGATCTGCGGACAGCATTGCTGGATAAAGCCTTTCAGTTCCACTTCGCCATGGTGTTCTAATCCGAGTTTTTTTGCAGGCGTTTACACACGAAAGTGTTGGAAAATACCCACACCAGCGAACTACGCCGTGAATTACCTGCCTGTCAGTAACCTCAAACATTTCTTGTAAATCACATAACATTCAGTCCAACTTTATACCTCCAGCGTGGAAAATTTGAAGAAAAAGCTATTTTGACAGAACCGTTAGTTTGAGCGGAAGCTACTGATATTCCAAAAGGGAGAAAATCGTTTTTAAATGCGGCGAGCTTTCTCACTGTTGGCCGGTATTTTTGATTGAAGCCTGGCGGTATATTTGTCGACCACTTCTATTTCGGCAGTTGCCCTCGACACATAGGCGCTCCTCTTCCACCACAAAATTTAGTATCGTGACAATCAGCTTGATATTGGGAAAGTTTAACTGATAGTTGCGCAAAGTGCTTACAAGTCTAGTGGTAAAAATAAAATATTAATCGCTCCTTTGCCATAGGTATTGGCCGTGTTCTGTAGTCCGTTTATCACTTCGAGGAAAGTGACCGAAAAAGTTTACCTTTTGGATCGTGTATAATGCTTGCAACCACTATTTTAGTACACCAGAGCCGATCATGCAAGTACCTCTACTTACAGCACCTAAATAGCCTAGGCCGCTTCGCAAGCGGCAAAAGTGTATGCAGACCTCGCTGACACAGAACGCTCCGTGCACACGTCATCGATGCATACGTGGAGGCGGCATCCGATAGAACTCAATCTCACTCTATTCCTGCCTGAGTTACGACACTGTGTCAGGATACAAGTTCAAAATAAGGTCTCAGAGATACCGCCGCTGACCCCAAAGTCGCCTTTGTCAAACTGTTTCACCTTGCTATACGCAATCTCTCTAAATCAATAAATGAAGTCAATGTTGAGTGGAAAATCCACCTGAATAGTGTGAAAAGTAATAAGTCAGCATCCAAGTAAGCCGACTACAGGGGGCCTTACCGTAAATTCTAAGAAAGTTACTGATCCGCCCCTAAGACTGACTCTAACCCATATCTTAATTCCAACACTAAACTTAACCCTAACCCTAACTTTACACTGATCTCTCTGGAGTGTTTACTACGGACCGGCAGGTAGAATCCTGTGAAATAGTTGATAATCCTCCTTTAATTATCAGGCGATGAAAAAGCAGCGGAATATTTTGTCAAAAAGTTCATGATTTGCCTACTTATAACGGTTGCATGAACTTTTGAAATTTCTCGAGGCGAATCTTATGAAATTCTTTGGGGTTTTTTAGCAATCCGATTTTGCCCTTTATATTGTCCCAGTGCTCTAAATGCCTTAACAAAATCGTTTTATGCTGATCTTGGAGTTCCTTCCTGTTTTTTTTACTTAGCGTTCAGAGATGTTATAGCCCCGTCGATTTTATTCCCCTCTTCAACCGACCGAAAGCATTCTGATTAAGAAAAGAGCTGGCTTTTATAAAAGATATTTCGAATACTTTTGAAAGATTTAACACAGGTTCACTTTGTTGTATTTGACATCCTTACTATGGAGCAAGTGACATATAACGTTGTATTTTGCTTGTAAGATCTCGGACAAAAAAACTGGTAGGCGTAAAGTGGTACGCCATGAAATATTCAATAATTTTATATCCTTGTTTTGCAAGGCACGGTTTGATTATGTCCTAAAGAATTTATGTTACGCTTCCTTGGACGAAGGTTTCTCTGGTAACAGATTATTTGCACGTAATACCCACATGGAAGGGGCTAAGCCCCATTTTTTACAACAAGATGAGATCGAAAAATCTGGATATTTAGTTTAATATGAAAAAGTCAAATACATGGCAGAACTTGATGAAACTGCGGCAAATTGAGTCTAGGCATTATGCAACGATTGCATGCAGCCAAGCGCCACATGAAGTTGGGGAAACATTAGCACATTTTCCTACGTTTTAACTCTGTGCTACAGTCAAACCCGACTCACCTGGACCTGCTCTCTTTAAAAATATTATTCAGACACAGCGGTATGCACAGACATGGCTTTATTCAAAGCTGCAGACACAGATGAAGCTCACGTTGGTGAGGCATAATTTAACCACTCTGGCATTGTGTTAAGAAGGACGGAGTGAAACCACTCGAAGGACCAGAGATGCGGTTGGGGACTCAGTAAAGGCAAAATTTTGCAAATTTCGCAAACGGTAATGAACTACAGTCTCAATCTTAAGCTGGAAACTTCATAGCAAATAGTATCCCACGTCGGCAAATAAGACCCGGTAACGTACCAAACAAACGCGTCATTGATTTATCCGCGTAGATAGAAGGGGGGTAGCCTGCCATTATCGCGTAAAAACTGTGCTCTTACGCACAGTATGGTCTTCGTGGTACGCCAAACCAAAGACATTTCCAAGTTCTCACTGAGGATTTTACTGTCCAGCACAAGTTGTGCCTTCAAAAAGATTTGTGCAAATCGCATCCGAAAAGAGGTGTTACCATCAAAGGCCTAGGTGACCTGGAGCTACTACGCTCAACAAAAGACCTCGGAAGTCTCCAGGGTGGTGAGCTCGAACTTCTTGAGCACAATTTTATTTGCTTTGTTTGCGTCTTGTTCGCTCTATGTAAGACATCGCATTTTAAAAATAATTGTGCAAATAGAAGTTGCGGAGATTTTATCTGGTCCCAGATCAGGAAACCCGGGTGACATTAGTTGTTGACATTTCCCAGTCCACTTATACTACTCATTTTAATGAAAGCCTAAGATTATCGCACTCTAGTCTGAAGGCTGAGGGAAAACTGATCAAGGTTCATCATAGCTAACAACGTAATTCTCGCATAATTTAACTATTGTGAAGTTGTTTCTTGGTAAGGGGTTTGACTCACAGTGTCGGCAATCTCGAAAATGAGAACGTCCTCCGCGCTTAGGCTTGACATCTCCAGAAAGGCTGCAAGATAGGCATTCTGTCCAGCCCAGAGTGAACCCCCAGGATTCGAAATACCCTCTTCCATGTTGCGTTGTTTGTTTTGCGTTGGCTCGTTACTGCAAAAAAACATAAGAAGAGTCACATATAAACTCTGTCAAGACTCGCCTTCGTCTATGTTTGAATGAGAATTGCATACAGTAATATAAGTTATTTGAAGGGATTGTATTAAACAATTCTGCCATCTCAGGATCAGCAAATCAGGGTCTTCGCAGTCTGGTATGCGCTAACATTTTATGGCACCAGGTTTCCTGTCGGTAAATGCGCTTGCGCTCCCGCCTGGGTATACAGGTCTTGGGCATGGCTGCCCAGTCATTCTCGTTTCCTTTCTGAGCCGTTTTGGTGCTGTTGTTGGTTAATATCCTGGGTAGGCGCGCTCGTTGTGTACCAAGGAGCTTAGGTACGAGTGCCGCCGTGCCAGCTACTTGCACCCTCCCTCACCTCCGGTCTTTTCCGACTGCCTAGATCCCGGTAACATGGAGGGAGGAGAGAGGACGGTAGATGCTGCGCAAGTCTACACTCACGCAAGTCACCGTGCCTACTTCACCTTCCTGTGGAGCACGCGGTTGACATCGGATGTGACGGTCGAACTGTCATGCTGAACAAAATGGGAACTGGGGTAGGGCTGAAAAAACGCGGATAAAGGACAAGTGTGTACTATCATCAGTTCTCTTTTGGAATATCTCGACTTTATATATCCTTCTGGCCAATGTGTGATTTCTCATATCAAACTCTGTTGTTATGCACGAGATCGACACGGGGGTTACGTTGATAGAGGATGAATCAGCATCCTAGACTTCTTTGGTCATAATTTTCGGACTGCATTTCCTTGACTAGTCTTTCGATAGGGCCCATGTCGATCCTCTTGGTTTGGCCATCCGCATTCCCCTAATCGACATCGTACGCGTTTTAGCATAAAAAAGTCATTACATTTAGACAATTCGAGTGGGCAGTCCCTTTCTGGTATTTGGAATAGAACCTATGTTTCGTGGGCGTCTAATACGCTTCTTCTCGGCCGTCATCAGCGTCTATATCGCAAGAACGACTAACATGGACATAACAGCGTGTAATAGCACAAAATGAATAAAACACACGTTAACCCTGATTTTCATGATATCGTTGTTTATTGTTTTCAATTTTACGGATAGGATACGTGGGAAGGGTATGAATATGCAGTTTATAAGGTGTCACAAGCAGGTCGATGGAAAAGGTCGGATACACCCGAAGTCCGTGCTCATAATGCCGGAAAAAACTTGATCAGCTAAAGTGGATATCCAAAAGTATCAATAACTTGTCTGCCGTAGCGCACGCCTCTAGACCTTTCTAAGATAATTCCTCCCATCCATGAAAGATGAGCATGTAATGAAAACAATAGGGCTTAACTTACTAGCCCCTCAGAGTCCTCATTTTCAACCCTTAACTTCATTATGGGAAAACTCGGTTTAAAAATTTAAGGTCGTTAACTGGTCTGTGGATAAAGGAAGAAAACCGTTACCAAGACTAGATAGCCAAGCTCGGTTATATATGACTAACTCGGCAGTTTATTTTGTGTGATACTAATTTTTCATCTTTCACAAGAAAATGAATAACTTTATCTTGCCACTGAGCAAAATAGGTGATCAAGTTTCATTTGGTGAGGGTAAAATCAAATGGGCTTTATGGGCTGTGGAATACATTTTCAGTGCGTGAAAGTGAAGGGTTCTTCCTTCTCCTGTCTTCAAAAAGATGCAATAATCGATTCAACCATCAATTAAATTTACTCTGTAAGAAGAGAAATCCGGATTGCTCCCCTTTCTGGATGTATTTTTGAGTAGAAGGCCTGAAGGTAGTATTCGATGTAGCGTCTATCGTAAGAAGACGTGGTCCGGGCAATACACCAATTTCGGGAGTTTCGTACCGTTAAACATGAAGCACAATATTGTCCGTTGCCTAACACCAATAGTAAGGCGAATCTGCGCGGCTGATAGGATAGGGGAAGAACCTAAGATTGTCGAAAATCTCCTTCGCCAGAACGGGTACCCCGATCAATTCATTGTCAAGTACATGACCGAGAGACCACTAAAAGTCCCAATGCTGACAGCAGAAAAAAGAAGCTTTTCATCAGAGTCCAGTTCCAAGGTGATGCGCCAAGTGAACTTCCAAGAGGCGCATAATTCAGGCTGCACCACGTACCTTCCCAGCAGCTGACGCCCATATACTCTTCTCCACTAGCCCCATCCAACACGGAGAGGGCAAGGACAAATTGCCGGCCCAGACCACTTCTATGCGTATTTACTCCTTCACTTGCTCCTGTGGGACAAAATATATTGGTCGCACGAGCCGGCGACTGTCCAACAGAATAAGAGAACACCTTACGGCATGGTTAGGAAAGGGCCATATAAAGAACGTCAACAGCTCCATCGTCGTTCACATGATAGACGCAGATCACTGTGTAGATGTCGGACAGGCATTCCGAGTGATTTACGAGGTCTCATCAAGATATCCAAAATCACTTGGACTGCGTATTTTGGCAACAGCAGAGGCGGCTGCAATCAGGCTACACAAACCAGTTCTATGCGCTCAAAAAGAATTTCGTACAGGCCCCACAGTTACCATGGTTCAAAGCCACCATGCCAGCCACCTGCGTATAATTACCCGTCCCAGTGTCCGCCATCCCCTTCTCCCCCCCCCCCGAAATACACAGTAATTTTGTTTTTCACCTCACCCACCCAGACTCTCCCCCCTCCAAACCTCAGTTACAGAAAATCATCTGCTCGCCCGCATTTTTTTAATCACTTCGATAGCAATTAAAATGCATAGGCCGGAGGAGGATTTATCGAACGCTTACGTATGCGCGCCAAACTGTCTTTTGGATGTAATAGTCTTCATTTTTGAGTTTATTTTTGATGAAGAAGCTAGCAGCGAGCCTTCGAAAGAACTTGAAACTGCTACTTTGGTTTACTTGAGAAAATGAAACATAATTTCCGTAAAAATTTGAACTCAGCGGACGGGATTGTGTTAACAGTTGTCAAACAGTTGTCATTCAAATCGACAAGTATCCAGGAAAATCTCAACGGGTTCAGGCTAATGTAGTTATTGTTCACCGATGTGTATTTTGCATTGTTCTACTGAAAGTAATATGAATGGATGGGGGAGTCTCCCGAAGGGCGAAGGTTTCCCATCGCCGGGCAGCTCGAAGCGCATCGTAATCAAATACACTGCCAATAGAAGCGAAGAGACGAGTCCCAGGAAGTAGTCTTTAAGAAGGAGACACGATCGCTGGGACAAGAACTTTATTAGCCTTACGCTTCGGATTCCTGCTCGAACCCATCATCAGATATAACTACAAAAGTGAAACATTCGCCCTTAGGGAGGTCTCCACGAATTAATCACCCGTATCTGCTGTTGTCTCTGATGATGGGTTCGAGCAGGAATCCGAAACGTCAGGCTAATAAAGTTCTTGTCTCAGCGATTGTGTCTCCTTATTCAAGATTACTTCCTGGGACTCGTCTCTTCGCTTCTATTGGCCATGTATCTGGCTACGATGCGTTCCGAGCGGCCCGGCGATGGGAAGCCTTCGCCCTTCGGGAAACTCTCCCATCCATTCAAATCACTTTCAATGGAACAATGCTAAACACACACTGGTGAACAGTAACTACATTAGCCTGAACCCGTTGAGATTTTCCTGGATACTTGTCGATTTGAAGTCTTTGCAGATTTTATGAGGACAGTTCTATTTGGTCGTAAATACAATCATCATATTTTCTGAAGTTTTACAAGTTTACTTGCGGTTGGAAAAAGTCGCATCGAAAGAATCTAGCCAAGACGCAAATAGCAAAAGCGTCCGAGGTTGTTTAGTCATCAGGATGCCTAAGAGGCATTCCTAAGCACCTACTTAAAGCAATGCCCCATAAGTTTCATTTTTGATCGGGTCTCCAGTCGGCGGTCTGACTCCCCCTGTAGTTTTTTAGACTCGGAACGTTAGAACAGAGTTGCAGTATATCGCACCGAAACCCTATTTTCTGCGCCAGAACCCACAAAGTCGTCGACGTTGTGTTAGTAAATCAACGGCTTGCTCCTGAATCTGCATATCAACTGTTTCGAATTCGTATGGCTTCCGATTGGCACCTAGGTCTGCCTATTTCAAAGTCTCCGTTTTCCTGCATGGCCTTTTCTATGATGGGCGTAAATCGAAAGGGCGAAGTAGATCACGACGTGTAAAGTAAGATAGCATCGAGGAACACTGGTCAACGCATTGCACAATGGAGTTCAGGAACCTCGAGATTATGGTATTGAATTACGCTAGAATATTTCCCGTAATGATTGGATTTTGGGAAGAGGATAATAGTTCTGCATCCATTTATCCGCATTGTCCATCGTCTCCACCGTCTGCTACTATAACTGGACCGACTACTGCCTGGTAGTAGGTAGCCTGTTCGTGATCTTTGTCACCTTTACGAAGCCTGTTTGCTTCGACGAGCCAATGGATCGATTTTTGCCTTTTCCTGGTTGACTTAATCTGTTAATGTACTCGTGCGTATGAGAAGAGAGGTAGAAGTCAGAGCGAAACAGCGTTAATAAGGAATATGACAAAGCCAAAGTCTCAAGTCGTTTCATCCTTCTAGGGATAATTATTGCATGTTTTTTGAAGGTATCTTAAATAATGCTTCCAGAACACACTGGTCGTATTATGGTGAGTATTCAATGTCATGTTTACTGAAAGTAACTACTCAGAACCAATTTTTTGGGCTTTTTAAACATGTCTGCGTCCAAACAAATCTTTTATCCAACTGTTCCGCTCAGCTTGGCTCTGCGAAGAACTTGACTTGCAGCTGCGCTTTTGCGTTCCCGGCTGCTGTAAATGTACTTCATTAAGCCCACGACGTTGCCTTCTGCGTTTAGACGTGAGAATCGATTTAAAAACCCTAAATGAATTACATAACACGTAGTAGCTTACATTAATAGATATCTAACTTACGTCCTTGTAACCAATCACAGATGGCCACAAAATAGTTTAAGTATAATTTTGCCTACGTAATAAAGTAGCACAAAGTTTTGCAGTCGCGAGTTACCTATTGTCTTTTAGCAAACAATTAAATACAGTGACCCGCCACGTTTACCAGCAAGGTCATTATGAGTTAGAGGTTTCGTGTGCCGAATGTGATTAGCTGATGACTCCTGAGGTCAAGACTCTTACAACCATCCGACATAAATAACCTGAATTGAGCAGCATCTCTTATGGAAAAATGTGTGCAAATGACATGGTTCAGAGCGCTGGAAAAAGATCGAGTGTTCAGTGGCACACTGGCAACGAGCAAAGCGGTCTGTGAGAAGATGAGATATATTTTAAAAGAATGTCTTTGACCAACCGATCCGGTGGGCAGAGTGTCGCATTACCATCTTGACCTTCTTCTGGGTGTTGCAACAGCAGGACCATTTCTGTTGTGACAAATTACGGCAATGTCTCCACGATTGAAAAAAATACCGTTGATCTTTTAGTTCTTTGATTCATGCATGCAGACGATCGCGTCACAACGGGCAGGAATGACTGAGGTTTGATCTACCTTCTCCTCGCTAAATATACTGAATTTCGTCCACGAACGACATTTTTCTGCCTAACGGCAGTTGCTACGTGGTTTATTCAATGTCCTCTTTTTCAAAACTGAGTAGTCGCAAGTACACAATGTAGGATTTTATTGTTTTTAATTTTTGATTTTACTCTGTCAAAACAACCAGATTATTACAAATATACATCGCTCTTGTTGTGCTTCGTCACTTTTTACAATAATCATTTTGAATAGAGTTAACAGGCAAGACAGTAGTCCGTTCGAAGACATGTTCAAGGAAAACTGCATCCACTCTAGAAGGCATTCCTTTTCCTTACTGCCTTGGAACCTAGTGTAGTCTGCTGAATGACTAATCATGGAACAAAATCAGAAGAGAAGGAGGTCTGCAGCCGAGTCGTCCTCCGGTTTTTTTATTTATGTTTCAGATATCGTTTCAGCTCATTGGGTTATTGAACAGATGTCGAATGCTCTGACAGTCGATAGGCCTAGCCGCTATAGCGAGGAGGAACAACATTCAAAACGATCCATTCTGGTAGTGCACGCTGTCTGAATATATAAGATTTTATGTCCCCCTCAGAGGACTTTAAACCTCATGTGGTACATTTATTTTAAATTTTACAAATCAAGCCCAACTATGACGTAGTAATGAAAAAACTAAACGCCGTTAAGCTTCTTATTCGGAGAATTCCACCTAGTATGCTCCTCTTCTGACTTACGTCATACTAAGATGGGGTTTAGTTTTATACACAAATACTGATCAGTAACTCGATTGCCAACCTTTAAATCATACTCTAATTCACATCGAAATTTGTTAATTACTGCTGAAAGTGGTGGACTGAAAGGCCAAAAGCCACTCTTCTGACAGGCATAACGGCCATTTTACAAAGAAATGAATAATTTACATCCTGTAGTATATTTATCTTTCAGTTCCGATGTCGGCTGCCTGGACTACTTTAAATCACATCCTCTTTCTGTTTGCGTCTGCATTCTTTTAGGGCACATATTTTCTAGAGTAAAGAGCCTCTTCTTGAACCTAACTCCATGTCTATATGTAGGCAGGTTAAGCAAGATAAAATGCAAAACCTCTAAGAAAAATTGAAGACATTTTATCGGAATAACCGCATAATCTACTCACCCGGAGGTCAGATAGCGGCGCATTGTCCTTCTAGCCCTTAAATTGCACGTGTTCCATCCAACGTAGTGTTTCCAGCCATACGATGCCAGCGCCAAGTGAATGTAACGACGAATTCGAGAAATATGAAGCCAGTCGCGAATAAGACGTTCACGTGGAGTTGTTGTGTTTGGGTCAATTGACTCAATTAAAATAAAGTATATCATTTAACACCTTGGCAAACATTAAATGACGAGTGGCTACGCCGGTGCACAATGTTACAAATAGCTCGCAGCTCAAAACCCTTGAAATGAATTGCTTATTATAAATAGCAAACTATGGACTTAGTGGGCATTATTATATAAGATATTTGTCAAGATGGCGCCAGAAAGGTGACTTTCATCGTCAAAACGAGACAAACTTATAAATGAAATATTCAATTTGTGCTATATATAAGTGATCAAAAACGTATGAGGATAAAAATCCAAACAAAAGGTACACTTATGGGGGAGGACGTTATTTTGAGTACAACAATTAGAATGGCCAGTCATTGAAATGCACATAGCCCCAATATATATTAATCATGATCCAACAGTCCTCACTTTGGTTTCTGTTAAACATAAATCGTACTAAGCCGCAAAAGTGACTTAGATGAGGTTTTGAAGTCGGAGCGGTTAGTTGCCTTGTAAAGTGTCAAACATTTTGATGGGAACAGAGGATACTGCATGAACGCTAAGCACGCAACCTTTGTTATTTAATGAAACTAGCACACACTGACAACATTTTATCCGCTACCGATATAATATATAATCATGATCGGTTTCGGAGACTGTACTTTTCTTTCCCTATTCATTAACTTTAACACAACCATAGCAAGAATATATAAACACAAAAAGATCAGTGGCGAAATCTCTAACAAAAAGCTGAAAACCAATAACTTTTAAAATATATACAGGAGTGTAAGTTGACATTATTTTAGAAAGGTCACAGGGAATAGTGCTCGAATATTTTAGCCATAAACTCGCGCAACTGCTCGCCCGCCCATTTTCGATATCTGCCACATCTTGAACTTTAAAATGGGGAATGGGAGCAGGTATGACTCTACCTCAAAGACATTGGTATCCTGTTTTCTCAATTTAAATGACTTCAATCTCACTAACGCAGGGTGTTCTCATGAACATCAGTGGAAATATAAAATTTATGCCGACAGACATTCTGCTGCATTAATTTGACGCAAGTTCTAGATAAATGGCGAACCAACCATAGTTTCGGTTGAATCACTGTTCGTCTTTTGTTTATGAATTACCTCAGCAGCCACGTCGGTGGTTATTGGATCAGTATTATCTAGAACGTATTGAGCATCTAGGGCCGACTTGTTTCCAATCCACTGCGCTGATTGCCACCTCAGAAGCAGAAGACCCATAAAAACATCAGATCTCGTCAGATCCAGATCCTGTAAGGCCGAATAATAAAAGCAACCTTCTTAAAAGTAAGCCGCCAGCTACCGCATTTAGGTACTTTGTTTCATAGACTGTCATATTCTGATATATTTAAACTAAGTGGCTTTAGTGTCTAGTATAATTCACATTTTAAGGTGTGAGCAGGTGTTCCTTGTTTTCAAATGTAATAATAGTAAAAATCACAAAGATTAGACGATTACAGATCTGATTTTGTACAGGCAGTAGTTTTGAAGTGTTCAAAACTTATTTCTTTATGAACGTTTTTATTTGCAACCAAATTGAAATCGTTGATTTTTATTCATTGCTCTTATACATGCTATTAAATTACAGAGAGGCAAATAAGATTATGATTTGTCATCAAAATATGCGTAAGTCTTCACTGCATTTTGAGCTGCATAAAGTAATAATCATATTTTGACCAAAATCAAAATGATAATCATGTCAGAAATTTAATTTACCGAACCACATGCATAGAGGTAGAGACGTTTCACCAGTTTTAATAGGCAGGAGGCGACTGAATTAAATATTTTTTGAACTTTGCAGTCATAAATAAGAAACCTTTTAGAAAAAATGTATGGTCATTACATAAACCTAAACGTCACTAGCATTTACCGACATATAATCAGCAAGAGTTGAAGAGGCTTCTTCTATAGCTTCCTGCCTCATTTCCTCATCAGGTTCCGTCAATTCGGCCACCTTTTGACGAACAAAATTCGTCCATTTCTCAAGAGATATCTCGTGCATCTTCTTCAAAAGTGTTTCCATGTCGCCTGTTAATTCATGACTCGTTTTTTTGTCATAATAGAAAGTTTTGAAGAACTTGTACTTTTCTGCGCCGTTTTTGTCATAATGTCGCACCCATCCAAGAAGTGAAAATAAGACGAGGGCCATGCCGATCGCGCACCAACAAATAACTGCTGTTAACGGTGGCTGAATGGAATCAATGAACATATTTCTGAATTAATTATGTAAATGTTTCGGTTGCCTAATATGCTGGATGGGTTACAATTAGTACTTGCTTAAACTGCAATTAATCCCTGCCTTCTTCGGCATAGAACGGCATTCGAAGATTTGAAAGATCAGTTTGAAATATTTTCTTATTCAATGGACTTGTCAACTATGTCCCATAGACATAAGTATAACAAATGGTTGAAAGTGAAGAACAAAAAATTCATGATCCTAAATGGCGCATACAATTTACGCGAGAAACGCTGACATTTCTAATGGAACCAAAGACTGTTAGCTTAGAAATACAAATCCATAAATTCTCTCCTCACGGACGTACTGTAACTAGAGACGATTTCCATTTCATTTCAAGTAAAGTTACACTGAAAATGCCGTTTCTTACTAGCTGACAGTGCCTCCTCTAAGATATATAATTTAAGAATTTCCACAGTCGGCTACTAACAGGTGTGCATTTTATTACTTGCAGAACTTTGAATTATCGGATGGGTTTGGCTACAAAAATACGCAGCAGTTCTGCAAATAAAAATAGCTCTTTTGCTGAAATTCTTCCTGTGTAATTGCTTATTGGATTTGTTCGCAAAAAGTACTAAGACAGTTTTGAGTTGGCAGGCGAAATCAACGCACGTGGATAAGAATATATTTTAAGCCTTTCAGTAACAGTGTACAGGTAGTCAACAAAAGTTCATAAATTTACTCACAGCATTCGTTTATAGGACAAAAGACATAAACAATGAAAGAATGTTTAACTCGTGGGTGTCATTTACTATTGTCGCATATTTCATTTTTCCAACAAAACGATAATGCATGATCCGTAATAGCCGCTGTAATCTAGGTGATGGGATGCCTACTGTAAAGCACTGTGCTTGTTTTGAATGCTGTGGACTATACCCGTCTAAAATTTGCACCCCTGCAAATTCAAATGCAAAAAGCATCCGATTAAGCTGGAGCTTTAGGCTAAAACCTCCAATGAAGTTAAACATGACTGCTGCGCCTCAAGAGACTTATAGGTCTTGGATGGAAGCTATATGAAACTTTCGTCACAGTCACTAAATACTTTTAAATAGTATATCGATACATACCGAAGACTCCTGCGATACCGTTTCACTGCTTTTCCATATTGATAAACAGTAAAAGACAAATTCTGTTGGTAACAGAAACATATGGAACACCATGACAGGCTGCAGAGCTTTTCTCCTCTCTGTTTGCATCACTCCTCCCCGAGAACTGATGATTAACATAGCAACATACGTGCAAATTTGTACTGAGCAGATTACTGTCGTAGTAATGAAAATTTCCTTCAGCTTTATAAATTAAATCGAAAGCCAACCTCCGCGCCTGGAACGTCAATAAGTGGCCGTGTTTGTGGTCCAAACAATAATATTCCTGCGACCAAGACCCTAGTTTTTATAAGCACATACGGAGAACTTACAATATTAATCGAATCAAAGCAAACACAAGACTGGACGTAACAAATTCGTCTTCCGCATATTTCCAAGTTCTTTTAAAAAGTTTAAGTGTCGGCATGCTTTTCGGGACGGAAAATCATCCGCTAATGGTAAAAAATACTTGTTAAAGGTGATATTTTTTGACCTCGGATTTGGAAGCACCCCCAAAATAGAGTGTTATCTTTTTTACTTATTAAAACGAGGATGCTTTCCAAGAATAAATTAGAGTGGCCGAATCTCTGAGCCCATTTGGGAAGAAAATACTGCCGAGAATATTTTTATTTTCGTTACAGAACTTGTCTTCTTGTGAATAGCATGCTAAGCTGCGAAATCCTCATAAGGAATCATCCAAGGGCCGTAAGGCTAACAAAAGGATAGGAAACGGTGTTATACACCATCTAATCGCATCTCAGAAAAGTCGTCTGAAGCATCCAAAATAAACAATAGGCTTATTTAGAGTCTTGCGGCTTACTTGCCTGTCTTTGAAAAACGGGCCTTCTTTGTGATTTTGGACTTTCCACGTTGACAACCTGTTCAGTCCGCAGAATGTTTTCTCAACATAATGTTATTTCCAGACGTATTTATAAGCCTATTGGTAGGTTATTGGGAAGCTATCGGGATATAATGTTTTCGCCTACAGGATTTCGTTGAATTTTCTTTTAACAAGTATGGGCGATAACTATCTGAATAGGAGCATCATTCGTGTCTACTCTTAATCGTAATGTGTCCGATATCATTCATTAACTGTCGGTATTCCTGAGCAGTAAGTCTCTGAATAAGTGACCAGTAAGATACAGGCGGCATATAAACAACCATGGAGTGTTTAATATGTCGGTATGTTAAGTTTTTAGAAGGGTATGCTGAAGGTCTATGAAATTTTTAGCTAAATGCTTTACCGGCTATGCTTCAGTTAAAAAGCCTTTCCGCATGTAAATCAGGATAAAAAACAACGGAATAATTGCCGTCACCACTGCTTCCTTCATTGTACAATAATTGCCTAAGATTTTCGAATGATTTTCCGCCATGAAAAGCATACCAACACTTAAAATTTTTAAAAGAACCTGGAAATATGCAAACGACGATGAAGGCTTGTTTGCTTTTGAAAAGTAAGGCTACAAAACCTGTGGTTCCGGATATCGCCTCTTCCTCTCATATATATGAAAAAAGTAAGAGGTTTTTCGGAAAATCTACTCGTACTCGTGAATTTTCGAGCTGCTGACAACAACCCGTCGTCAGACGGAATGAAAACTAGGGAGAAAGTTGGTTTGTCGCACTAGACTAGTTAGCACGACGGGACATACAGATTATTGGCCTATCTGAGGGATGCTGACAGAGCCCTGGTGGGTCTCTGAGCGAGGGGGAGGGGAGAGGCAAAACAATTACGTATCCCTGTGTGGAGGGGGAGGGTGGATGGTGGATCAGTTGGACTCCGGACGGCTGGATTTGCGCCGTTGATGTGGCATTAGGGCAGGCGGCAGTAAGTCGTGAGCGTGGGCTCTCGTAATGCTCGTCCAGGTCAACATGGCGGTTAATACTACCAGCATTGGAGTACCAAGCCTCGGTAAATTCTCTCGCCCGTTTTGTGCTAGCCATGGCGCTGACCTCAGTACCATCCCAATAGAATCGGTGGTCGCACTAGACCGCGTGAAAAAAGAAGAGGGATAGGGTTTCACCGACGGACAGCCACTTTCCATTCATTAATATGGGTGTGCAGGATTCGAACTGTATAACGCACATGCACGCAAGAGCATTGAGCGCAAGGAATGCGATTTCATTTTCATTTTGCTTAACGGACTTCTAATCTCAAAAACTATGCATTGCACTTTGTGCAGATTTTGCCTACATCGTCTAAAATTTGCATGTAAATTTATTTTTACTTGCTTTGATGGGACCCCGACGGGTCTTTAATAAAAATAATTGAATTGAATAGAATTAAACTACGTTTGTTTGTTGCTCTTTGGGGAGGGGATCCTTCATACGAGATAGTGTTGCGCGTAGTGAGGATGCTGGTTTGTGGACGATAAGAATACCAGAACGATTTAACTGACGGGCGATTACTTCAGACGTTTCTTATATAAAATGCAGAGAGAAGAATTGTAGAGACACAATTTCCCCGTTGAGGTTGAGACCTTGCAGTTGTGCCTGGGTCTGAGGCAGGTCTTTACAAACCTTGTCTGATATCCGTTAGAACGAATAATCGATACAGGTAGGCAAGCTCTTTTTTAGATAATCGCTGTTCCAATATCGATAGGTCCAGTGAGACAGAGTTCGGTCGCAGCTTCTTTTGTGAGCCGCGGGATGGTTGCTTCCATAATTGAGGATAATTTCAGAATTAGATCCTTTCTTATTGACGCTCGTCGCGAGAGTACCATCGCTCAGCCTACGTAGTCTCAGGTCAACAGACGGCAGGCTGTCTCCTATTGCCTCTTCACGAGTAAACTGTATGGCCGGGAACACAGCATTCAGCCTCTGATGCAGCCGTTTAACCTCGCAGTTCTTTAGCACTACAAAGGTATCGTCCACATAGCGAAGCCAAACTTGGGGGCTGACAGCTTGAAACCCCTCTTTTTCTAATCGCTGCAATACAAGTTCTGCTAGCAGTGCTAATATTAGCGTGCCCAGTGAGGTTCCCTTTACCTGGTGGTAGGACCTTTTGTCCAATAGCAAGGTGAAGGACAAGGCGCACAGCATAATTTCAAAGATAAGTGAAGCTTTGTATTTTCTTGGATATTCTTGAGTAATTTACGCCTGTCTGTTTAATTGGGTGGTTTTGGAAATCACCTTTCACTAACAGATGTAATTTTTACAGTTTTGTTTGACAGTCTGGCAAAATAGTCGCATTTTTTAAAAAAAACCTTTGTAGTGAATCCGTTCCATACTATCACTTTCTAGTTTTCGTAGTTAGATAACAGAAGTACTTGCTACTCAGTGTGCTTTTCTGTAGGCTAGCAACGTTTTGATCCTTCTACTGCAACGAAAAACTTTCCTTGTCTGTGATGCCCCGCAGAGCACCTGCTAAAAGACGAAAGTTTGCGGCCACCCCACCGTCTCTGGCTGCTAGAATCGTGACCTAAGCCATGGAGGTGCCAGCATATGTTCTTCGCCTTCTGCAGATGTGATTAACTCACAAATCCCTTTAGTACATATAGGACATATTGACCCTTTTATCGTCCAATCTACGTCTCCGCTTGCCGCAACGGGCCATCAGCCGACGAAATACTCTATCAGTTGATATATGGCGATATAAACAGTACTCCGGAAAAGTACTTGAACAAGATTTTTAACTTATTGGGGTAATACGTTCTGAAACTGAGGAAAGAATTAAACGCAAACATAATTTCATACTGCAAAACATTCCGAGCCACTTATCTGTAATGGAGGGGGCGCATTTGTTCCTGCAAAGTTGTGGCTTGAGTTTCAGTGTCGCACAAGATAAATGATTGCACTCGCTTAGCAGTAAGGCGCCGATACTAGTTACCCTTTTCTACTTTATAAAAGTCGATTTTATTCTGTCGAAGAGGGAGATAATTCGAGAATTCTGCCGTAAATGGCGCTGCTCTGTTTTGCCAGACCTCACACCCCTGCAGCGAAGACTGAAAAAATTAAAATCGGCAAAAACCAACACCAGGATAATGACACCTACCGTCAGTTTGAATGGGTCCTTTACAACGCTATCAGCGGCCTCTGCACGTCATGGCATAGTCAATTCCGTAGAGAATTCCACTAATCTTTATGCTGAGATCTTTAAACATACTAGCACGCCTGGTATAAACACGCCTCTACCGACTGCGCAGCAACCCCTAGTAAGCCGAACCATGTGCCTTAGTCAAAGGCAAATCCAATTGCTGTCGCAGCCCCTCGGACACCCGATAAATCCAGCACCATTATAAAATCTTTCCCTCAGCAATCGGCTAACAAAGCCTCCAACAGCTCGACTCAAAACGTAACGTGTTCCCAACTGCCCTACAGTCCTCACGTCAAGGCAGCTAGGCCGAATAGGCCGATTTTTCCGCCGTTTAATAGAACTCTTGCTCCAGTGGAAGCCATGCGTCCTCCACTCCCTAACTTGTTTCCACCACGGCCGTTTTACGAATGTATTTCTCATGCTAATGTCTATACTGCATCTGTTAACTCATGCGATCCTCAGTGTCGTTCGAGCGGGAGTGTGTTGCAGTGTCTGGCCCCCGGATTTCCAGCTCAAAATGAGTTAGCTCACAATCGTTGCCAGCTTCTATACCGGTCATTTCTTCCGCCAAGTCAACCCCTTTTTATCAACGTCAGATTTTTTGATTCCACAAAAGTTTTTGCAGAACCGGATGGTATATACGGACCGTTTGCTGCGTGGACAGACAAGCACTGGACGACGTAGCCCACCTCCCTCAGAAACATACAGCCTTTCCCTTCAAACTTTTAGTTTTAAATGCCAGATCCTTGCTTAACAAGATGCCTTTGCTTCAGACTTTGGCGTTCGTCCATTGTCCAGATAATGTTTTAGAAACAGACACGTGGGTATCAGCCTCCGTAGCTGACTTCGAACTCTCTCTCTTCTCGGCTAAAATTGCATTCCATATGATCGCCAAGACAGCCGTGGTGGGGGCAGTTACGTCTACGTTAAGCAAACGCTTACATTTTTGCCGCTTGACCTCCCGCATTTTTCCACAGTAGAAGGCAGCTGCTGGCTCCGAGTTGCACTGAAATTCAAGTTCGACTTACACGTTGGCTGCGTCTATCGCACCCCCTCCCAACGCTAAAGAAAATTTTGCCCGTTTACCCCCACAGATATTTCATGATGCGGCCGACTTAAGCTTTAAGTACCAATTGATTTCGGGTGACTTTAGTCTCCCCGAAGTCCGCTGGTCTCCGCTTTCTGGTCCCAGAATGTTCGAAGAATTTCTTGAGGCTGTGAATGTTGGAATGTAGACTCAGGTTGTCGATTTTCCCACCCGAGGATCAAGCATACTTGACCTGCTTTTTTAGAGGCTGCATACCTTCGTTTTTGTCATCTCTTGGCCCACTCGGGGGCTCAGACCATGACATAGTTGTTTCAACGTTGGAGTTCGAGGCTCACAAAGCGTTGTC